AGAAAAAGAGAAAAAAACATTACAGCCTAAACAACATAATTTAATTTAAAAACTATGAGATAATCTAATTTTTCATAATACAATCTTGACTTGGTTTTTAAGGATCCAAGAGATTTCAATAAAAAAGTTAGCCTATGCATGTATTAAACATTAAACAACATAATATTTGATGCAAATAACAGTTGGGTGAAAATCAGCATAATAAATTTGTATGTAGAATCATTGTCTGGCCTTGACAGGCCGTTCCTTGAATACGTGATAAGGAGCACAGTTAACTCGTTTTACAAATTGTAACCGGTAACATTGTAAAAATGTCTAATATCAGAGAGTAGTTTTTTTTATCTGTGATCAAAAGCCTTATCAAACATTTGGCTGGTCCGCAATCATCAACCTTAGACAGTTAAGATTTTAGGTTCTAAGACTAAAACGTATAATTTAAAACGAGCTATTTACCGCGTTGCAGCCGCAGAAAAATTAATTGTGGAAATATCGTTTTAAATTTGGAAGCGTTATGATAATACATTCATTGAAGTTGCATGACAAATAACTTTTAAATAAATTTGAAGGTACGATACGCACGCCACCTGTTGTAAGTTAATTGTACTATGCCTATAACATTCGCGCAAGTGCAAGCAATATGTTTTTATTTTATTTTATTAATATTATATAAGATAGGGTTACAAACGAGCACACAGTCCCCCTGATGGTAAGTGGTTGCTGTGGTCCATAGACATCTACATCTATTCTCGATTATGATTCAAAATGCAGATGCGATGTTACCCGTAAGGATTAAGATGAATGCCTCGTTTCCAATAAAAAAGGCGATTCTCTACACTCACCATACGAAACACAGCAGTATTAAGCTGCTATTTTACGCTGGTATTCTGTGAGAGCGTGGTCCTTCCCCGGTCGAGCCGACCCATTCGTGCTGCAACTACACCACTAATATAATAGCAGCATGGCTCTACCACGCAAAAATTGGTGAATGTTGACAAAGTTTAACCACAATCTGATGAACGGTATGGCAGCGCATAAAATAGGAACAAACTAACGTAATTTTTTATATGTTAGATCACCTGTATCATTTTGTATCAACAGCACATTTATATTTCGTATTGTACCACCTGTTAAAAGTTTTCTAGGTGGTAGGACTCTTTGTGTGCCTTATAGCCCATTCATAATTCGACAAGTACAGTAGCGAGTTTAGTTACAGGGCAGTTGACAGTAAACGGTTAAGTGGACAGTAGCGTTCAAATGTCTTCGTGGCGAGTTTAGTTAAAAAAAAGTATAATTTTATATTTTGAAGGTCGAACGCGAACACGTTGCGTCCTGTCAACTTATGCACTGAACTAAACTCGCTCGTCGGCGAGTTTAGTTGCGGGTGGCGGTAGGCGCGCGGAAGCGCAACACTTCGAACTTAACTCGGCGCAAAATAGACCGGCCAGCTATCCCGTTCAACTTAATTGTTCACTTGCTACTTAATTCATTAATTGCCGATCAAACGAGATTTTCTACTTAATTCGTTAGGGTCGCAAGTTAACTCGCTACTGTACTTGTCGAAGTGTAAATCGATCTTATGAGTCCATCTGGATAGGTCCTACTGTCTTACTATTTCTGCCGTCAACTAGCACTGCTTGAACTGCTGTGGTCCTGTTTGAATAGTATAGAGAGCCAGTAATCACAGACTGTGAGGCATTCCATATTAGACCTTAGAGGTGACAACACATCTGTAGTCTTATTTGATGGCTACCGGTGTCCATTAACTACAGGAGCCACCTACCATCAGGTGGACTGTAAGTGCGTTACATCAGTTTTACAAAAAAAAAAAAAAAAAAAATTAAAACGTACCTAGTAAAATTTGTTTTGTTTGGTTTTAAGCAAACTAATAAGCAGATGTACAAAATCTCTAACTTTCATAAAAGTCGGGTTAAAAATTTCCTCGTATTTTATGTACAAATTCAAGACATTTTCAAAGCTTAATTACATTTATTTATAATATATATTTGCCATTTTGTTCGATAACCTGCGCCCATTTTGTACGTAGTGACATAATCCCGTTGTTGTAAAAATCTTGAGATTTTTGATTTAAAAAATGCGACAAGTAGTTTTGACAGTCCTGTCTTGATGTTAACCTAACACTACCCAAATAATTCTGATGAGACCGAAAATGGTGAAAATATAGTTCAAGGTCAATTCTATATAGTAGATGGATTAATACTTTCAAATCAAGCTCTCTCAATTTGGCTGAGTGGCAAAGATATGTGTGGTCTGGGGTTATCAATTATCATGATGAAAGACCACTCCTTTCCTGTTGATCAATTCCGGCCGTTTTTTCTCAATTTCTTGCTTAAGTCTCAATGGTTGTTGTCAATAAACGCATTTCCATTCCATCATAATAATAATGACTTTCAGACTGAATTTCGGCCATAGCGACCTGCCTCAACGGAGGCTAGCCATCGGCGCAGGACAGGATTATAGTGCCCAAGTGTATGCGCAAGCACAGGTGCACTCACTATTCCTTCACTCTCATAATCCGATGGGACGGTAAACCGACACGACCGGAGAGAGATCAGGCGCAGGACAACGGCTTCACGTGCTTTCCTAGGCACGGGGGTGAGACACCGCCAACTTCCTGACTCCGGGCAGCTACTGAGAATTTCTTGACGGAGAAACTCATTTTGTTGGCCCGACCCGGGATTCGAACCCAGGACCTCATGATCAGCAGTCACACTACTACAACCACTAGACCAAAGAGGCAGTCATTCCACTATACACACAGCACCTTATTGCGTCTTAATCCGGGTTTCGCTACAGTCTGTGGAGGTTTAATACCCTCTTACCATGATCTTTTTCGTACGTTCTTGTCGTTGGTGATCCACTTGTCATCACCAGTGATCAATCTTTTCAAAAATGGTTCGGTTTCATTACGTTTCAATAGAGAATCGCAAATGACTACACGATTCATTAGATTTTTTTTAGTGAGCTCGTGTGGTACCCAAACATCGAGCTTTTGTAGATAGGCAGACTTTTTCAAATGGGTCAAAACTGTTTTGTGATCAATCTTCAATTTCTTGGCTTGTCTTAACCGCTAATATACCGACTTTTTCAAAAATGGCATGGCAAAAATGGCGACTTTATCCGTATGAGGGCGACAGATTTTTCCCTTTTTTTGTAGTAAAACTTCAGAATGTATCTAATTTCTTCGTTAGATTCACTCATTCTGGAGAACAGATAAACAATTGAAAAATGGCGGGAAAGTGTTAGCTACTCTTAAATTTTTCTTTTTCCTAATATCCTATATGTATTGATATTATAACCAGCCAGATACAAGCAGTAGAACTAAAGGGATTTTTCTTCAATTTTATACAAACAAAATACGAAGAAACTTTTTCCTCGACCTATTATGTCGTGTGAAGTTTACATAATATTGTAATGTTATATTATCAGAGGCCTTGTAATGTTTTGGTGGTCTACCGGGTCACGGAGCAATCTTATCGGCATAATATATTCTATTAATGGGTGTCGTTGGAGCATTGAAAAATTTACATAGTGGCTTCAAATCAAGTGTTTTGTCAATAAAAATATAGCTATGGGAGACATCAAGTCTCGTCCAGTTTTCGGAAATTTTATACATATAATATACCTTATAATAAATACGTAATATAATGGAGTAAATGAAGCAAATGAAAACACAGAAAATTAAATGAACTCGCATGACAGGTGCTTGCTATACGATAAAATCGCTAAGCGAAATCATTTAGATGCCGTAAATCAACGAGGAGTAACGAAAATTTAAACTTGATTCATATCGGTCCCGGAAGGTATTATGTTTACGAAAAACTCTCTGAGTTACTATGTATTAAATGCGAGAGAACAAACAATAGACGTCGTCCTATACAACCTTTGTACGACCCGGCTGCGTCTGACCTTGGATCAAGCCAAGGCGCATCCGCACTCATCAAGCGTAATGTCTGCCGTTAGTTGAGGCTTTCGTTTAGGTGGTTGTCGAAATATATGAAATCCCAGTACAGATTTATATCCGTTTTTTGAACGAAACAGATGAGCAAATAAATATTGTACAGCCATCTAATGTTAACTAATTTATTCTAATTAACCGCACGGTCAATATAGAATATTATGTTTTTGCCAATTTAGGTATTTATTAATAGATTTTAGCTATGTATCAAATTTTATTTTTAAAGACGTAAACGAGTACACAACACGACAGAATAGGTAGAATTATATTGTGATTGCACAAATTTTATATTGTAAGTATGGATAAGAATTCTTTTATCCATACTTACAAGACTTTTATCCATACTTAAAAGAATTTTTATCCATACTAGAGAAGGGGCAATCGAGCATGCGGCTCACCCGATGGTAAGTGATTTGTTTCATTTAAACTTTAAGTCTAATAAGTTTCGTTTTCAAAAAAACAAATATATTGATTCCAATAAGAAAAATTTACTGCCCAAAATAAATGGGCACGTAATATTATTTCAACAGTATAATTAATTATTCAGTTTGATATGAACCCAGTAAGGTTTGCATAGATCTGCAAATTAAAATTTATTTAACAGTTCAAAGTAAGATATAATAAGACTAAATTTCAAGGAAGTTATAAGTTATAACGTACGAGTACGTTAGGCAAACACTTGTAACAAGTACTTCTCGAAAAACCACACTATATATGGTAGCATACTTGAAAATTCGAGTACAAGGAAGAAAAATTAAAATTCAAATAAAGTTAAATATGCAATATGTATACATTCATTAAAACTTCAAGTATAAGAAACGATATAGAGAAGCTATGAAAAATTGGAACAAGTCAAAGTGACTAGAGTTCATTAGAAGATAAATTATACCCGGAACAAGACCCAGAGTCGTGAATTTTCACAATATGCTATAGCATATTTCATTTGATAACTTCAGAAGATCAACTTATATTTCCGAAGTATTCAAGGATAAAACTTAATGTCTTAATAATGATAACATCTAACCTTTTCTTCTGGAACACTTTGACCACCATTTTCGGAGAGAGGTGTAGATGGAGCACTATATCCTTTAGGACCGTCGTCTTGAGGTGTCATTTGTCTTTGCACTTCGTTCTCTTGATCGTTGTGCATTCTTATTTCTTGCAAACCATTTTTGAATTCCGATAGCCTTAATACGGAGGGCTTTATTTCAGGTATATCATCGGGGTGCTCGTACCTTCGTAAATCTGTAAGGTTCGTTGCTAAATGCCTGTGGTGGTCCATTGGATGCGGCACACCTATAGATCTAAGATGTTCTATACTTCTATGAATATGTGAATAATTATCTACTGGTATTTCTGCCATTAGAGGTGAATTGTGATAATCAAGACCACCTCCATCTGGTCTGTAATCAATTGTCCTTCCTTCCATCATTTTGTATGGATAATTAAAAATTCTATCTAAGTTATATAACAGTATCGTATCTAATTGGTATTTGGCACTATCTTATAAAAATATATGGTATCTGTCCTATCTTGCTGGCATCCAGTGTTTTATTTGTCATGGAATTAAACGAGATCTTCGTTATTGATGCACTGAAAAAAAAATATTCCTTGTAGTTAACTTTCAATTTTCATTATGAATTTAATCGATTGAAAATGAATGTCAATAATAATTTTACAATTACAACTAAAAACCGAATCAATTTTAAAATGAATAACGAAATGTTCAAAATATTGACTGCGAAAAATTGTTTTGACGTTCGTTAATGTACAATTACGATGAAAATTATCATTATTTAATGTTTAGTAACTCGTTCGCTGTTTTAAAACTAGATTTAGAATATAAAAAGTCGGTAGTTTTTTTTTTTAATGAAGCTAGCAGGTGACGAGTGAGCCGTCGCGTAGGTTGTGTCAATGATCTAGCCCGTAGCCCACATGCCAGTGTGAATAAGGCTTTGATAATCACGTTTCTGTACAGACGGGTGTACTAAATTACATTAACGATGCGTGCATAATGATGTTATATTATGTACTCTACGTCTTGGCTTATTTACTAAATTGGTTATACAATATAAAATATGCCAATTATATGAGAAATTAATAAATACTACCACTATATATATATATATATATATATATATATATATATATATATATATATATATAAAAAAATATATATACATGTATATATATAATAAAATTACTAATTTAAAAATAAGAATTACTCTTGATAACTTGCTACTGTTTTTACAGATTTTTAACAAAATGTTGTTGTGTTACAGATTGTACTTGTTTAGTCCAGCATACACGTCTGTCAGAGATAATAATTGCGCGTATAGAATAGACAACATACTTATTCTGCTGCTTTACAAGTATCGTGTATTTGAAAAATATACCTTAACATTAAAATCATAAGATACATAAGTGTTTACAAATAGTTATTTCCGCACCGCAATTTGGTCATGGACTGTACTTGGACCTCACGAATGATTGAGTTTAAGATTTGTAATCATATACAACTTTGGATGAGGGAAGTGGCTTTGGGCAAGTAATTAGGTTTATTATGCACGCCGTGATAAGATGAAGGCGTAATTAGATACATTTTTTAATATGAGTTATTAAATAAGAACATTATTTTATTGTATTAACATAAGTACGAGTGTTCTAAATAAATAGGGTTTCCAATATATTATATATAATGTTCTAGAGGATTTTACAATTAATATGACAGTAGATGGCGGAACTATAAAAGCAGTAGGGATATTTTAAATCTATATATAATCTTGCTGCTTTAAGCCTTTATTAACAGCATCACGTTCATGCTCAGCCTTTATTAAAATATAATATACTATAATAAATTAAATATATAGTACTATATATTTTATAGTTATAGTATTTTAACCTCTTATTTAGTAGGATACTAGGTAAAACTACAGACATGCGTTTCGGTAACGTTTCTGTTTTCTCTATTTTTTCTTTCTGTTGATTCGACCAATCTTATCTACTTATAAAGTCATGTTGCCCTAAACTCTGTTATAATAGTGGTAAATGAAACAATGTAATGGGAATTGTTACAATTTTGTTTTCTGAAAAACCTCTTGACTGTTTTCCACTGTGACTCAATTTGTTGTATACGAGTCCTGTCTTCAGCCACAATTGGGTTGGGTTCAAGTGATTAACTTTTTTATGCATTTCGTTATATGCAATTATTACTGAAATTTATTTTTGTCGTAATTAATTCAAAAGGAATTTCCAAAATCCAAAAACAGTGTAAATGGTACGAGCTTAACCGTGACAAAGCTCCTAGACTAAAAATATTATTAAAATCAAATACCGGATATCTATAGCTAACCCGTATACTATATTATTATATAGGTAATGGTAGGGTTGGCAAACGGAGATAAAGGTCGGTCTGTAATTTTTTTTATAAATTTCCTATATCTATATGGTGACCTTAATTTTTTAATATATATTGGGTATTAAATTGCAGCTGGTATTAAAATACTGATAATATTGATTTTTTATCATAAACAAGAAATTATATTACAATTATATAAATAATTGAACATATACATATATTTGCTTTAGTCATTCTATAATATTTTTATAAAATATTATTAGAACTAAAATTTGAACAAAACTTGTAATAGTTTCTTTATTGATAAATTACCGAAACATCACATTACGCACCGCTAATTTTTAGTTTACACGTAGAATATTGCGCATGTTTAATCTGCACTTAAACTTGGCAGGCAATATTTTGAACGTTAAGTTTTACGAAAAAAAAAACATTACATAGGTATGTTACATTAAATAATACAAAATAAGTTATTAAATTTAATTTACAAGATATGCGTATGTAATAGTAATAAAATTTAAAGGCAGATGAAAGAGATATGCATAATATTGATAAACAAAGACTTAAAAATATGTGTGCAACGTTTGAAGAAACGAGACACTAAAAATAATCTCAACGTAAGCAAGCATCACGCACATTGCACGAAAATATTTCCGTATTTATAGTCTGGGCATATTTCAAGGTCGACTTTGACAGATGTCCGCCCAGACCCAGTCGCCTAGCAATTACAAAATTTATCTTAGAAGGGGAAACTTACGTAAAATTTTCCCTCCCTAGGATTAAGTAGAAGATCTTGCGACCTCAAAAAAAAAAGTAAGTCCTGCCTTAAAATTTTATTGTTATAATAAATATTACTATATTACCTGTCACTATCCAATTATCTTCAAAATCACCAAGTATATCACCATAATAAATCACAGCTTGTTCCTATCTAAATGTCACTAAAAATATATCACATAACAAGGTAACACTAGTGTCACAACACGTCCGAAAGGCAGTTCGCGGCAGTTCCGCAAAAATGTTTCAAAAAATCCACGTGCTTCGCGAAAATAAACATTTAAAAAAGCCGGTGAGGAAAAAACAGTGGAGCCGTACAGTTGACCCTGAGGTAAAATTATGAATGCCGGTCGTCGTTACTAGGATCCAAATTGCCAGATTTTTTGTGCTCAATATTTTAGTGTGCTATATAATTTTAATATACTTGTGGGTATAAGAACCACACGTGACGTGGTGTGCCGTCCCTTTCTCACTTAGCGTTTCGCGCGTGCACCGGACTGCAGGAGCGCGATCGTCAGGATATCTCAAGACGACATGTGCTGGTACAAAATACCGTCCTCGCTAGATCCAGCGTTAAGAGAAGGCGCCGCGTCGGCCACTCGCGTCGACAACAAAAATGCAATACAAAACGCCCGCTCGCCCGCCTTTAGAGCGACGCGGCAAAAACGAGACTGAAATTCAGATCTATAGTAGAAAAAGTGAACTACACCGAGCGAGGGGTACACTAACACATAAAATGAAAAAATCACACGGACGCCAACATCGACACTGGAGCTTAAAAAATCGGAGTGGGGAGCCTTCTTCTTCGCTCGCAACGATAACGACATCTCGCTCTAGCGGCGTGAGGCCGTACGCACACATACAAGCCGTGGTTAAGCGAAAAAAATGTGTACACATTTTTTTATTATTCACGATTTTTATGTGTGTAAGTGGGCTCGGTGCGAGGAGGACAGAAAACGGCGACCCGTACAGCCTCCGTAGGGGGAGCGAGACAGCGTGTGTCGCCACGTGCTCGTCCCCTGGTATTAAATAATAATTAAAATGGCTACAAGACCGGCGATACGAGATATTGTTCGGTAGACGATTTTTTGACCGAGCTTTTGCCTTTTTTGTCGAGCTTTTTGCGGAATCAACGTAAAATGAAGTAACGTGCCGTAGACGCGTTGCGTTGGTGAAAAAACCGTGGAGCGATTGACACATAACAAACGAAAACGCGCAGAAAAAGTCGCGCCGGGGAAAAAAACCAAGGACGCCGCGCGAAAAAGAAGTTATTGATTAAAACAGGGCTGTCATTGACCAGACGTAAATGAGGGTGCTTAATGGTATGCAGTGGTGGATCCGGCAGGGATCAATTTTATTTTAAGAACTAAATTTGTTTAAAATATCAAACTTTTTTGCCATTTAATCTACCAGTAACAGGAGTTTAACAAAATAATTTTAATATTGTACGAAACAAAAAAAAATTACACATTATTATGTTATTTACAAATTTGCACTTTTCAAAAGTACTGTACACCATGTTGTCGTCAACAAACCTATTGTGTTCGTTAAGAATCAAATAGAAAAGTTCTTTATTCCATATAGATTACAAGAATGCTTATAATAAGAAAGTTGTTAACCACAGCTTCTAAAACTCCTTAAAAGAATCAACAAGAAACCCAGCGGGACTTTAGTAAGGTAAATAAATTCAAGGTAGGTGATATGTTAAAGATATAATGATAATGTTTCAAGCGCATTTTTTAACCTGGTACAACCACACTGCAGCTATATGGTTATAGCACGAGTGGATCAGCTCGACCGGGGTAGGACCACACTCACAGAATGCCAACGTAAAATAGCAGCTGTTTCGTAGACCTTTTTTACTGGAAACGAGGCACTCCATCTCAGTCCTCAGGGACAACACAACATATCCATTTTATTTCTTAATTGAGGATAAATGTAGATGTCTATGGGCCACAGCATCCACTTATCACCAAGTGGACTGTATACTCGTTTGTTACCCTTATTCTATATTAAAAAAATACTTATAAGTGAAGTTATGCGAAATCAATAGAAAATTTCCTGCAGTTAACTGTATTAAACAGCTGTAAGTTAACTAGCTACAAAGCGCAAATGTCGATTTTCGTTTATACAAGAATACACCGATGTGAGTCTATGTTCTACATGTTTAGCATTTGGAGTAAACAATTCAGAGAAATGCATAGCTACTTTACATCCTAATGTTGATCACATACTCAATTAACAGGGTAAAGTAACAACTTACTACGAGTATGTACGTTCCGCGGTTGGCACGG